TGTACACCCCCACCACCACCTCACACTGTGGTGTTTATCCTTGTGGGGTTGTGTTGCTGTAACCCCCCACCCCCACCCCCACACGTGGTGTGTTATCCTTGTGGGGTGTGTTGCTGAAACATCCCCACCACCACCCACCCACACTGGCGGTGTTAACCCTTGTGGGGTGTGGTGCTGTAACACCCCCACCAACCACCCCACACTGCGGTGTTATCCTTGTGGGGTGTGTTGCTGTAACACCCCTACCTATCACCACCCCCACACGGGTGTTATCCTTGGGGGTGTGTTGCTGTAACCCCCCCACCTGCACCCCCACACTGGCGGATGTAATCCTTGTGGGGTGTGTTGCTGTATCACCACCACCGCCACCACCCCCACACTGGCGGTGTTATCCTTGTGGGTGTGTTTGCTGTAACACCCCCACCACCCACCCCCACACTGGTGTGTTATCCTTGTGGGGGTGTGCAGTAACCACCCCCACCACCACCCACACACGGTGGTGTTATCCTTGTGGGTGGTGTTGCTGTAACACCCCCACCACCACCCCCACCCTGGTGGTGTTATCCTTGTGGGTGTGTTTTTGCTGCAACACCCCCACCACCACGCCCCACACTGGGTGGTGTAATCCTTGTGGGTGTGTAGCCTGTAACACCCCCACCACCAACCCACACACTGGTGGTGTTATCCTTGTGGGTGTGTGTTGCTGTAACACCCCTCACCACCACCCCCACACTGGCGGTGGTTATCCTTGTGGTGTGTTGCTGAAACACACAGTCCCCCCACCACCACCCCCACACTGGCGGTGTTATCCTTGTGGGGTGTGTTGCTGCAACACCCCCACCACCACCCCATACACTGGTGGTTTTTATCCTTGTGGGGTGTGGTTGCTGTAAGAACACCCCAACCACCACCCCCACACTGGCGGTGTTATCCTTTGGGGTGTGTTTGCTGTAACACCCCCACCACCACCGCCCCCCCACATCAGTGTGTTATCCTTGTGGGGTGTGTAGCTGTAACACCCCCACCACCACCCCCCACCACACTGGTGGTGTTATCCTTGTGGGGTGGTATTGCCTGTAACACCCCCACCTCCACCCCCACACTGGCGGTGTTATCCTTGAGGGGTGGGTTAGCTGTAACACCCCCACACACTACCCCCACACGGTGTGTTATCCTTGTGGGGTGTGTTCTGAAACTCCCATCCCACCACCACCCCCACTCTGGGTGTTATCCTGGGGTGTGTTGCTGCAACACCCCCACCACCACCCCCACACTGGTGGTGTTATCCTTGTGGGGTGTGTTGCTGCAACACCCCCACAACCCACCCCCACACTGGGCGGTGTTATCCTTGTGGGTGTTTCGTAACACACCCCCACCACCACCCCCAACACTGGCGGTTGTTATCCTTTTGGGTGGTGTAGCTGTAACCCCCCACCACCACCCCCACACTGGCGGTGTTATCCTTGTGGGGTGTGTTGCTGTAACACACCCACCACCACCCCCACACTGGCGGTGTTATCCTTGTGGGGTTGGATGCTGCAACACCCCCACCACCACCCCCCACACTGGCTCGTGTTATCCTTGTGGGGTGTGTTGCTGTAACACCCCACCACCACCCCCACACTGGTGGTATTATCCTTGTGGGTGTGTTGCTGTAACACCCTCCACCACACCAAACACTTGGCGGTTTATCCTTTGGGGTGTGTTGCTGTAACACCCCCACCACACCCCCACACTGGTGGGGGGGGGGGGGGGTGTTATCCTTGTGGTTTGATGCTGTAACACCCCCACCACCACCCCCACACTGGCGGTGTTATCCTTGTGGGGTGTGTTGCTGTAACACCCCCACCACCACCCCCACACTGGTGGTGTTATCCTTGTTGGGGTGTGTTGCTTGTAACACCACCCCCACACCACCCCCACACTGGTGGTGTTATCCTGTGGGTGTGTTGCTGTAACACCCACACCACCACCCCACACTGGCGTGTTTTATCCTTGTGGGGTGTGTTGCTGTAACACCCCCACCACCACCCCCACACTGGTGGTGTTATCCTTGTGGGGTGTGTTGCTGCAACACCCCCACCACCACCCCCACACTGGTGGTGTTATCCTTGTGGTGAGTTGCTGTAATCACCCCTCCACCACCACCCCCCACACTGGGTGGTGTTATCCTTGTGGGGTGTGTTGCTGTAACACCCCCACCACCACCCCCACACTGGTGGTGTTATCCTTGTGGGGTGTGTTGCTGTAACACCCCCACCCCACCACACACTGGTGGGGTTATCCATGTGGGGTGTGTTTGCTGGAACACCCCCACCACCAACCCCCACACTGTGGTGTTATCCATGTGGTGTGAGTTGCTGTAACACCCCCACCAACCACCCCCACACTGGTGGTGTTATCCATGTGGGGTGGTTGCGAAACACCCCCACCACCACCCCCAAACTGGTGGTGTTTATCCTTGTGGGGTGATTTGCTGTAACACCCCCACCAACACCCACACACTGGTGGTGTTATCCATGTGGGTGTGGTCTGTAACACCCCACCAACCACCCCCACACTGGTGTGTTATCCTTGTGGGGTGTGGGTTTTGCTGCAACACCCCCACCACCACCCCCACACTGGTGGTGTTATCCTTGTGGGGTGTGTTGCTGTAACACCCCCACCACCACCCCCACACTGGTGGTGTTATCCTTGTGGGATGTGTTGCTGTAATACCCCCACCACCTCCAACCCCCAACACCCTCTCCTACGTCCATACCCTCTCCTACCCCTATACCATCCTCTACCCCGCACACCCCAACCTTTCTCCTCCAGCAACACCCAGCACCCCCCTCCTAACTTCCCACCACCCCCAAAACTGTAACCTAGAGTTTTCTCCACCCCCCGCCCCCCGCCCACAACGTCCTCTTACCTCTTCAACCTCCATCACCTCATAACCCATCTCTACCTTTAAATCTGCTCCTATGAGTTCCTGAAACCTCCGGAACGTCGAGAAAAGCTTAAGTCACTCTCCATATCTCCATACACACTCCTCACATCACTTAAAAAAAACGTGGAAAAAATGTGATTTTCGATTCCATTTTTGGTAAAATTGTGAAGAATTGAATGAAAGAATGAAAGTGATGGTAGACTACCACTACTACCA